GTTTTAACGTTTAATATCTTTCAGCGTTGTAGTACAGTACATGTACAGTAATTTTATTTTCTTAGTTTTACTCATATTTTCTCCTCACTATACAAGCAGATTAATGTATTTTTATAGAATATAACAGCATGTTATGGAAGTGAATACAAGGTCAGTAAAAGAATGGAGGTACTGTAACGAACCAACAACGTAATTTATAACGAATTGTTAGAGCAAATGTGTGGTAGATGGTGACTTCCATGGTGACGAGGCACCCGAGTATAGTACAGTATTAGAACGCAGGGGGGTGGCCGGGTATGTGCGAGAACTACAGTTGTACTGTAGAGTGAATGTAAAAGTGAGAGTTGAATTGAGAACTAAGGAGAGTGATTAAAACTGGGAAAAATAAAATAAAATTGTGTACTTTGTAGGTAAATAATATTCCACTTAAAAAAAAAACATAAGTTGGATGGATATATGAGCAATAGGGTTGGGTGTAAAAGGGACTGCCCAGTATGGGCCAATAGGCACTCTGCAGTTTCCTCCATTCTTATGTTATGTTCTGACTGTTGACCATGAACGTTGGGGTTTCGGAAAGGAAGGTGGAGGGTGTGGGTCACCTGAAGATCCTTCCCCCCATCCTCCGTAGATTATTTTACCTGATTTAAATTTCCTAACGCTACCTGGGGTGGTTAGGCTAAATATGAAATAATCTGGGGGAGCTTATCTTCAGGTGATACAGATTATGTTAATACAAGCACTAATTTGGGTAGCTGTCGAGTTGATGCAGAACCCCCTTGTGTGTGTTCAAGTTGGTTCGCTAGTTTTGGAGAAGTTACTGATCCTACCTTGTATGGCGTAGTGGTTTATTGTTGGAGGGGGGGACATAAGCCAACCGCTTCCATACCCGTATTGGTCAGTACTGTTGTTCCTAACAACTGTTGAGTGATGGTATTAACCGTTTCTCAATGCTTGGTGTGTTTTCTTAATATTTTGCATGTAATGGTGATCACTGAATGGCGTGTGCTTTAGATTTCATATTTAAAAAAAATCATTTACCAGATGGTAGTGTTTTAATAAGGTTTCTTCCGGATATTCCAATTTAATTTGATATTTTTGGTGTTAATTTTGTGTAAGTTTCCTTGTTTATTAATGTGTCATAATTTTGCTTATTTAGAGTCAGGTGATAGGTTAGGTTATCACTAGTTCGTTAACTTGGTTGAGCTAACTGTCGAACAAGGCTCTTGCGTACTTATACTGTACACCCCCTTTGATGTGGGAATGTGCGAGCAGAGAAATAACATCGTTTCGTCTGGCGTAAACAGGTTGAGAAAGTTAATTTTGCGTTTTGAGGGTGCTGGACTACGTAGTATAGCGTCAAGGGAGGGGGGAGGGGGCGAGTAGGTGAGGTGTGTGCTGCATGGATGGCTTCACACAAATAACAAAGGCGGTAGTGGTGTGCTCCATGGTCACCCGGGCCAGCCGTGGCCAATGAGATTATCACCCCCAGCATCGTGCCCTGCTGCCAGAAATGTGCTTTCACCCATTCATCAAGACCGACACTCGCTTTGTTTTATAGTGGCGACGAGCGTCAACTTTTACTCGGGAAAATGGGATGAGTGAATGGATCTCTGTGATTGTTTTGTTTATTTAGGAAGAGATTTGTGCAGCAGCGAGTAGTGGAGTGGTAGCAGGTAGGCAGCAGTGTCAGGCCAGTGATGGATGCTGGGGGGGCAGAGAGGTCGGGCAGGGAATGGGAGGTGAGGGGGATGAGAGGTTGGGTACAGGAGGTGGAGAGGGATGGGAGGGTCAGTCAGGGGTGATGTAGGAGACGGTTGAACATTTTGACAATCCCTTGACGTGAGATATTTATGATGGGATGTGACTGCCATTCACGAGGGTGTGATAACGGCGCCCTTAAACTTTTGGAACTCCCTCACCAACCATTGCCATGTAACCCGAGTCCACTTTCATGTGTGACACTATACAGTTGCCTCTGAAGATGTCTTGAATAAAGACGAAAGCTAAGGTGCTCCGTTGTTCCCATTTTCCCGTGTGATATATATATATATATATATATATATATATATATATATATATATATATATATATATATATATATATATATATATATATATATACACAATGATGGTAAGGGGGGAATCTCATCGTAGGTGAAAGGAGATGAGATGAGGGAGGTGAGAGCTTGATATGTGAAGTGTCGGGAGAAGTTGCGGGAAGTACCTCCTCTGGCCTGGCGGGGTCGGCTGCGGCGCCTGCGGCCTTACCTTGCGCCCACTGAGATCGATGTGGCAGCCTTGACCCTTGATTGGTCTGACTGCAGCTATGGAGGACCTGGTCTGGCTGGGGTTCCTCACACCCTCCCGGGTGGACTGTGACGGCTCATTGTTGATCCCTCACGCACGACCTCGACATTTTGGCGGCCTGCCAGCGGCTCTAAGTTTTTCCCACCTAAGTTGCCACCAGGGTAGCGCTCACGGCTGATGACACCACACAAAACCACCTGAAATTCTAAAATAAAAATGCAGCCGCTCCCCCACTTGTTTAGGATCTTGAGAGCGGAGAATAAATTACCTCTAAATGCCATTATTATGGTGCATGAATAATAACAACAGACCAACAAAGAACACTCGCCAGGCTCCCGTGAAGTCTAATAGTACAGGTGGGCCTTGATGGTGTGTGAGACATTGGCGAAGCATGTCATTATACTCCCTCCTGCCCCCTTACCTCCTTCCCTTCCTCTTCTCGTTCCACATTCCCCCTCGTGTTCACTGGGTCTGGGGGAAGGAGGGAGGGGGAATAGTTGGGTGGATGGCTTGCCTGGGCGGCCGAGCGTGACGGTGGGCGGCGGGGAAGGTAGGGGGCGGGGGGGGGTCAAGGGGAAGACGCAAGAATGAAGGTTGGCAAGCGGGGGGTGGGTTGTGGGGGGAGTGAACTAGCAGTGGTTGCCGCCCACCCTAGTGTCTTTATGGCTCGTAAACCATCCCCCGCCGCCACCACCCATCAACCCCCCCACGTGCTACCCGCTCCTCCCACCCTACACCACCACTTATACCCCCACACCACCCCAAACCACATCCTCACCACCACCGCTCCTACCACACCCTACAGGCCTACATCACCACCACCACCCCCATTTCATACCATCACCACATCCCCTCCCCAACCACACACCACCACCACTCACACCCCGAGTGTAGGACAAAAGCTCCCCTCACAAAACCTCTAGACTAAAGCCCGCCGGACAAATACTAAGAATATAATTATTCTTTATTATTTGCAGTTTATGAACACTTCTCTAACGTATAAAATATTACATTTATTATATCATAAGACTGCAATGCCTAACCTAACCTATCCTATATTGCACTTTAACTGAGGGACTTTTGTCCCGACCCCACACCACCACACCCATCCATACCCCACTCATACCCTACACTGTCTCCCATGCCACCCACACCACCACACCACCCACACCACCACACCCATCCATACCCCACTCATACCCTACACTGTCTCCCATGCCACCCACACCACCACACCACCCACACCACCACACCCATCCATACCCCACTCATACCCCACACCGTCTCCCACCACCCCACCACCACCACACCACCCACACCACCACACCCATCCATACCCCACCATACCCCACACTACTCCCATCCACCCACACCACCACACCATCCACACACTACCACCACCCACACACACTACCACACCACCCCCACCACCCACACACCACCACCTCCCACCCACACACCACCACCTCCCACCCACACACCACCACCTACACCACTGCCCACACCATCACCACACAACACCACCATCCACACCACTGCCCACACCATCACCACACAACACCACCATCCACACCACATGCCACTATCCCTGACCTGCCTGTGTGTTTGTGACCTTAAATGGACCTGCCTGCTACACACACAACTCCGGTGAACATACTGATACCCGGGTACCAACAGTAGAAATATAATGTACAATATGCGAATTAGTGCACATGCATCGTAAAATATGACATTAACTGTTGTAAAATAACCAAACTAGACATATACAGTGTTACATTAGGTAAGGTAAGTCTTACTTCCCTATACTGTACTGTACAGTCTGCTCAGTCAGATAATGAAAGTCCATCTATTGGCCAGCAGGGCTTCCCATAGCAGGAAAAGTCTGACTGACAATTGGACACCTACTACTGATCCTCTAAGCTGCCGGGGCTCTTTTATGTGAAACCATAGACTCGCCTACAAGCAAAGGCTTTAGACCTCACTCCAACCCATATCATTAATCCACACTCTGAGAATACACCTTCAGGTTACACCCCCACCCCAAATCCTCATCCCACACTTGTAACCCATATGCCAAGCCCACTCCCACATCTTTAATCTATGCCCTTAAACCACCCGGCCTACACTCTTCCACATACCCCACCCCACACCATACTCCTAATTCTCACCCACAGTATCCATACCTCTCTACCTCCACTCTCAAGCCTACGGTAATGCTCTGTTGAGGAAGTGGTTGCAGGATACTAGTGTTCCCTGACTACTGTACATATGCTTGGGGAGCGTCCACCTGTCCTAGTAGCCATGTTCACTTGAGCCCCATCTGTTACTGTTTGCAGGATTAAGCACAATTCTATCTAGCTCTGATGAATTAGAAATTGTTAGTTTGGTTACTTGTGTTAAGGGACTGTACTCTACCTGGTTATGTTTTCAAGGTGTTTTGTTAATATTCTCTTTATTTTATGTCACGGTATCAAAATGAATATAAATTAATAATACCTGTATTAATGTGTTAGGACGAAGAAAAATCATTGGAAGTTGTTAGGCTTTGTTGAATTTATGGACAATCAAGTCATTATAGATAATGACGTGGACATGTTTGTGTTTACAATGCATTTTTTTTATTATCTAAAATGAGACTGAAGTCATAGATTTATTATTTTCTTTTATTTATTTATTTTTTATTTTATTTTTCAGATCGCGTTCCATGCAGCTAATATCTGTGGAGCAGCTGTGCACTCTTCTGAAGTTTGCACTAAATCGTCTGAAAACTATGCCCGGGGTAAGTCTGATTAGTAGCACTATGAGGGTACAATTTGAGTCGCACTTGCATGACAAATAAGCCCAAAAAGAATTTTAAGTGGAAATAATGTGGGGCACTTACTGACAGGTTGTAGGTAATGAACACCCTATACTTGTAAAATTTTAAAGGGTGGGATACTCTGAGATTAATGGAGGCAAGATAGACAGGTTCAGATGGCATAAATGGAGAAGAGTGTCATTATATACAGTATTCAGGTGGTGAAACTCCAGGGAGAGTGTAGGAATTCTTGTATGGCAGAAAATGTGTAGTCATGGAAATGATAATGGACAGTGTTAAGAGTTTTGTTCGTTAGGTTCAATGAGGTTTAAGAACAAAACAAAAGATTTAAATATCTTTGATAGAAAGTAAAAACCCTGTACAGTACAATATTTGGTAGTGTGATTTACATGCACATTAGGGGCGAGGAAAGAAGCAGAAGTGAAAGAGGAGAAATGTTAGTTTTCTTTTGTGAAAAGGGTAAGATAGTTATTGCAGATTCGAGGTTTCAATATCACCTGGGCATTTTAATATTGTGCAGTGCAGTATATGGATAAAGTATCACCCCAGATAATAAAAGTAAAACTCTAAGAATCAGTGAGACTACAGTACAGTACTGTATTAGTAATATTAAAACAAAAAACAATTGGATTAAATCATATACCCGGTAAACTTTAGGGAAGCTGAAAACAAAGAAAATGATAGAATATGAAATTAAATCCCAAAACAGATAATTGGAGAAAGGACCTGAAGCAACTCCTGGAAAGTTTTAATTCAGATTTTGGAACTGCTGGATTCAGGTTCAGTCTTGCTTCTGGGTTGGTTGATTAACAGTGCACAGTTTGTATAGTAAATTGTGCTGGAGGGTTTGGGGAAGATTTTATCTGAAGCTTTCCTCTTTGGTGGAGTGTTTCTAGGGGACTGGTGGCACTAGGTCACTTGTCTCAACCTGTTAGAATTTAAATGTCATCTTGTATTCTTGTATGGGAGGCAGATTTGCTGCTCTTCAGGAGATTGTATGTGAGATGAAAGCTGTGTACAGTACATTATTAGGTTTACATCTGTAAGCACATCCTACCCTCTCGTTTTTACTGTAATATGAGATATACAAGTATTGTACATATACAGGTGCTCCTCTACTTACGAACGAGTTACGTTCCTGAGGCTTGTTTGTAAATCCAACTTCACTTTTGTAGATACCAAACATATTGTAAACAATGAAAAGATTATGGGTATTTAGTACAGCTATACCCTTTAATACAGCCATAAAACCTGGCTCACTCTTCTCCTCTTAGGTAATGTTTGTTCTATCTGGAATTTTCTTCAAAATAATCCAGTAAACCCCCCCCCCCCCTGCAGTGATGATGTTTGTATCTCTGAAAGTTTGTAAGTTGAACATTCTTAATTAGAGGAGCACCTGTACTGTACGTTATGACTAGTAATATGATGTTCAGGTATCCCTCGATATATGTATGCCTGATAATTTTTTTTTTAAGTAGTCACATTTTTACATTTGTTATTATTTTGCCACAAAGTAAGTATTCCCTTTAACAAATAATATGTATGTACAGTATAATACAGTACTGTACTATATTTCAAACTTTTGGTGTCACACAGTCAAGATGGCCACCATGGATGTGCAGAGATGCATTGATACATTAATTTACTGTACAATGTTCATTGTATTTATTCCATATTAGTATTATTACAGAACATACAGCAGTGAACTCAGTATAAAACCCTCGCCTCCCCTCCACTCTACCAACAATATCCCTTCCTAAAACCTAACCCCAATAATATATGGGCTTTACCATTTAATATACGATTGCTTTCATTCCACTGGAACATAACACCCAGGAATATATGGGCACTGCCTTTTGATACAGAATATGTTTTTTTCACACAAATGTATTTCAGGAAGGCAACCCCTTTGTATATCAGGGAATACCTGTGTACAGTATTAAGATTTTATCCCCCCCACCCCCAAGAATTCTTATGTGAGTATTTCATGGTTCATTGTTTTGTGTTGTGGTACCCTTGGTTGTAGCAGGACGTGTGTCTGTCGAGTGGATACATTAGACCTACAGTACGGTTTAAAGAACACACACACACACACACACTCACTCTAACACTCGCCTCCTGTTCCATGGGACATTGGTTTGATCCCCAGGCACTCCCAGTTCACCCAGTTGTAAATGGGTACTTATGTTTACAGCCTGGGGAAGTGAATGTGGTTGAGTGCAGTACCAAACAGCCATGCTGCCTCCTGTGTACAGAAGGCATAGTATACACTGTGTTGTACCCACACTGTCCCTAATGGGCAGTCATGCCTATGGGATGCACTTTCACTGTCAGCAGCTAGACAGTGTTGGACTTAGGGACTTGACACAACTATGCCACTATGTTATCATACACTCAGTCGTTAGCTTGAGATGTTGTCTCCGTGTTACAGTGGCCACGACGCTCATAAATTTTGTATGAAAAACTAGTAGTGTAGTTGAACTGTAGCATCAACGTTGGGGTAGTCTTATTAAGCACTGTTTGGTTTAAAAATGTGTATATATATATATATATATATATATATATATATATATATATATATATATATATATATATATATATATATATATATATATATATATATATATATATATATATATATATATTTATTTATTTATTTATTTATTTATTTATTTATTTATTTATTTATTTATTTATTTATTTATTTATTTATTATTATACCTGTATTTATTTATTTATTTATTTTATTTTTTAAAGTAATCATAACTGAGTTACAGAAGGAAGTCAGTAATCATATAGGGCACAGGTCAGTACAGTGTTTGGACTGCAGGGACAGTCTTAATGTTGACTTCATTCTGTGTACAATTTATGAAGAATTGCTGTGAGTTTTAACACTCTATTAATGATATAAATTTGTATATTTTAGATGGAGCTATTCTCTCAGACTGCAGATTACATCAAAGCCCCAGGCAACAGGACAAAGGTGGTGAATACAAAATTATTGAGTTTTGTAGAGGAATGCTGTAGTGTTGCCTTTAGGTGCTCCTCCTGAATAGATTAAAGTTGGAGCAGTATAATGCTGCACACCTGTTGTGACCCAGCCATTCATAGCACCCAACTCTAATGTCATCTTAAAAATGGAAATCAGTTTGATTAAATTTGTGATAAAGAACAATATGGCGGTGCTGTAGTGTTGTGGGATATAACAGGTTGGCAGCTTGTGATGTGAATAATGAGCCTGTTTTACATGGAACAATGACCAGGCCTGTAAACAACGTTATGGAGTCTCCAGTGAGCCGAGAACTCGTAAATGACTATATGAATTGCATAAATGTGCAGTGTACTTTATATTGTCGCTGTCTCTAGGCTTCCCTGGTGTATTTACATATTTTTTTTGTTTTAGATGGAGCCATTTACAAAACCAGTAGACGCAACAGAATTTACAACTTACGAAGACATTGTAGTGCATCCTGTAGATTTTACGTCATTGGAACGGAACATCAAGCGCAAGTTCTATGGGTCCACTGAAGCATTTTCCTCTGATGCCAGATGGATTGTTCACAACTCTGTGATATTTAATGGAGGTAAGTTAGTGAGAATTATGTCTTGGTCTTGGCTCTTAGGTTTACTACCTCGTATTTTCTTACATCACTGACTTTCATATCTTACAGAAGTTATGGTATAATTAAGATTTATGTTATTCTTTGAATACCTTAGTAAGACATTTACTGTTACTTAATATTGTGTGACGGTCGAGTGGATACAGCGCTCGCCTCGTGTTCCTTGGGTTGGTGGCTCAATCCCCGGTCACTCCCAGCTGTAAATTGGTGCCTAAGTATACAACATGGGGAAATGAATGCACTGGCTATGCTCCCTCCTTGTGTACCGAAGGCTTAGTATACAGTGTGCTGTATCTACACTGTTCCTAACGGGCTGTCACATCTATGGAACCCACTTTCACTTTTCCAATATTGTGGAATTCTTGTATTTCAAATTTTAGATGTTGATATTTCTGGCAGCCCAGTAACAACCTGCATCATGCATTGCTTTTGTGTAAATTTTACTTTTAATTTAACACTTTGATGGGAAAAAAAAGCTGGTGGCTTGTTTAATCCCTCACAAATTGTTACCATTATATTCTAAAACTCATTTAAGATTTTAGGCTTTCTCTAAATTTTAATAGTTTCCCATTAGTACCAAAGTGTATGAAATATACCAATTTCCAAAAACTGAAGTCAGAAACAGTTAGTTTACTGTGTGTATGATTGATCGAGTTAAGATTGTTGGTCATCCCCATGTTATTGGCAGTAGAGTTAAAGTATGGTAGAATGAGTGTAATGCTATAGTGCCGGTAAATTAATACTACTTTTCCTACAGAGTAACAAGGTGACTAGATTAATAATTTATTTGATTTTTTGCAGCCAACTCAAAAGTTTCATCGATGGCTCGGACGTTGGTAAAGATCCTGAAGCAGGAGATGAGTGAGATAGAGACATGTCCAGATTGTTATATGAATGCTCACCAGAACCCTAAAAGCTGGTTTACTGAGGCTTGTGTAAGTAGCTAGTTCATGAGTATGTCTTGTTATTGGTTGGTACATTAGTATACTATTTCATATTTTAGCTTAACAAACAAGAGTTCAGTCGAGCTTATGTTATAATAATGATTGAAGGTAAAGTACAGTATATTTCATAATGAAACCATAGAGATCAGTGATTCTGTAATAATTCATAACACACAGGAACTTGATAGAAATATATTATAATGAGCATTCCTTCTTTTTATGTTTTCACTTTCTTTTGTGCAGAGATCTGCTCACCCCTTAATATGGGCAAGACTGAAAGGCTTTCCATTTTGGCCAGCAAAAGCTGTAAAGTGGAAGGATGGAAATGTGGATGTCAGATTTTTTGGAAGACATGACAGGTAAGATGGGCTAAATGTTGGAATTACGCCTGCAGTTTTACAGTTAATATACCAGTTACTGGGGTCCCTGTTAGTTCTGTCATCTTTATTGTTGTTTCACTCATCATTCAGGAACACTTTATCTATGTTTGTCAGTCAGACTAATTGTTGTGGCAGAGTAAAGTCGACACGCTATACAGATACAGGTAAAATATAAATATTATTATATACTAGACATACAGTATATACTGTAATTCAAAGCATAAAATTTTGTTTTAATTTTATTTCCTGTATTTTGAATACAGGGACTACTACTAATGTGTGTGCCATACCTTACATAAACTCAGTGCAGCTGTACAGTACACTGTATAGTGTTTAAGATGAGCAAGACACTCCAATATGTAGCAGTGATGTAGTCAGCACCGTTTGTAGTCTGTAGATTATTCTTGTAAGAGGTAGTCTGTAAATTATTCTTGTAGGAGGTAGTCTGTAGGTTATTCTTGTAGGAGGTAGTCTGTAGATTATTCTTGTAGGAGGTAGTCTGTAGATTATTCTTGTAGGGGGTAGTCTATAGATTATTCTTGTAGGAGGTAGTCTGTAGATTATTCTTGGAGGAGGTAGTCTGTAGATTATTCTTGTAGTTGGTAGTCTGTAGATTATTCTTGTAGGAGGTAGTCTGTAGATTATTCTTGTAGTTGGTAGTCTGTAGATTATTCTTGTAGGAGGTAGTCTGTAGATTATTCTTGTAGTTGGTAGTCTGTAGATTATTCTTGTAGTTGGTAGTCTGTAGATTAACTTGTTTAGTGTTAACATTTGATGGATTGGTATAATAACTGCAAGTGGCATATCTGTTGGTCTGATATATAGTCCAGATAACATGGAGTAATAGTTAGTATCTTGTCAGCCATTTATCTTTATATTTGCAGTACATATTCTCCTCTTCTACAGGTCCTGGGTGCCCATCAAGGAGTGCTTCCTCTTCTCGGAACAGATGCCAACACCGCTCAAGAATCGCAATAAGACATTGGAATCATGTCTTCAGGAGGTAACTTTGTTTCTTACCGTGAAGTACTGCTCTCTACATGTAATGGGGAGAGAATAGCTTTTCAGGTGTAAAAAAATATATTCTCTGTGTTAATATGTATTAAGATGTGTAAGACATAATAAAAGGGACTGTATCAAGTATTAGGATTCTGGAATGAGTGATTTGAAAGGAACTTAAAAAGGACATAAATACAGTGCTGTATTAATGAAAGATGTATATATGGCTCAAGAATAAGCAAGACTAGCTGCATACAGGTAAGTGGGTATTGACTACTGTATATGTCTGAAGATATAGAATCAGTGGTTGTAAAGGAGGACTTTGTTATGGCTGCTTTATTAGATAAAACTTGAGAGGACAGAAGAAACATGGGATATGAAGAAGCTTACTCACTCGAATGAAAAGAAGAGAAAGTGTGAGGGTGGGTGGGGGACGGTGCGCTCGCACGCGTCAGTCACAATAAATACTCTTTAATCTGTGACAGAAAACTTCCTGGCCTTGTACAGTCGGGGTCAAAAGTTCGCTCCCTCCCAGTATGAAGCAGTATCGAACCCAAATGAGATAAAACAGCACACCCACACCAAAAGACAGTCAGGGTTAATAAATAAGAAAGTACAGTAAGTTTGGAGACTCGTTCCTGCGACTGTTTCACCATGGAAGCGAACTTTTGCCCACGGCTGTTCATTATACTGCTTTCCCATCGTGGAATTTTAAGTGGTGTAGATCCCATTCAGCAATGTAACCAGAGTTATGTTTAGTCCAAGAGTTGGGTGCTTGTGAGACTCAGGTTTATTGGGAGTAGGAAGTTTATGGTGGGTATGTAAGGGGAGGCTGTTACAGTACAGTATGTGGTTTGGGTTGGGCCATTGTTCTGTATAGAGCAGGTATTGTTGGAGTATTTGATGCAGGTTGGACTCTGGTACAGTATGTTGAGAGACTGTAGTATACAAGGTCATCTGCATGTGATAGAGTTAGACAGATTTGAGTGGAACAGCTTGTAAAGGAATCCTGAGGTGAAGTGACAGATTTCAAATGTGTATGCAAGGTAAGCAGTGATAGATGGAGTGAAAGACCCAAGGTTAGGCTCAGTAATTTAAAGATCCCTTGTATATGTAGTTATGTCTTTGAGAAATCTTAAAAAAATATCTGCATTGGTCTTGATGTTATAAAAGTTATGCATAAACCACCTGGACATTCAGAAGGAGTCCTGTATAGACTGTTGGATATAGAAGAAATTGTGTTGTTTAGCTCAAGATCACACCTTCGAGTATATAGTATATCCTTCAGTTATATGTTTTTGTGCAATCTTATCAGTTTTCATAATACTCTTGTCTGTGTTTGCAGGTAAATGAACACATAGCAAAATTGAGGGAAAGATTTGGAAGGTTTAAGTATGCCCCTCACCGTGTTCAGTTCAACCCTTCCGATGCAGATCAAATAAAGATAATGCTTCCCAACTACAAAGGCCCTATTCCCCTCAGAGTACGGTCCCAATCCAGGGCTCTCTCCAGGTTATCCGGCCACTCAGGTACCCACATTGGTTTAATCCTCTGCTGGCATGATATTTTGAACTTTGGTGTACTGTATACAGTACAGTTCCTTTTATCAGAATCTTCAAGGTATCCAAACCTTTGTCCCCCTTTGGTCTTGTTTTGTTAAAATTGTAATTTATTCCAGTTATCTCAACCTATCCAAAATCGTATGTGCATCTATTCCAACAATATGAACGCACCTGAATTCTTTCACGCTTCTGCCACCAGAGGCACTGTACAGAAACCCTTTGTTCAGAAGTGTACTTGTGAGCTTTTTCATAGCTGATAACAAGAATGAAAACAAAAATGGAAGCAAATTGTTCTTAGCTTAGAGGATAAAGTGAACATAAGTAACTTATACTTTACACTGTAACATTAAAACTTAAAATTATCAGCATATAAACAGCAATAACAGAAGCATATAAATAGTATTAATGAAAGCATAAAAAGAGCAAACATCTTTCAAGTTAATGTACACTACGTCTCGGTTCTCGGTGACGCTGGCTGCCTCAACTCTCACCTTAGCCATCAGCCCAGCTGACGACACTGACTGGTTGGCTTCCCTAGCAATGGTACTCTACACTGCAGACCCTTTAACCTCCACACACTCGCCAATTGGCTTCACGATGGGAACCCATAGATACTGAAATCTTTATAGCTACCTTATGAATATTTTTATTATATTTTTTATTATTTATTTTATTTATTTATTTATTATTTTCTTTTCTTTATGTAGGATTGTTTTTGCATTTAACTATGTAAAAAAAAAATTATAACCTGTAACTACCTGAAAAAACGATGAGAAATAACCATAACAACACATGGCTCCAGGCACAACCACACATCCAAACCGTCATTGGTCCTGATCTGTTCGGATAAAAGGAATTGTACTGAATAAGGATAAGTGATGAATTGATAATCAGAATGAACCATGTTGTTACTTCAGAATTGATTGTAACAGGCAGTGGTAAGTATGTTACTGGATAGGTTTTCACAAGTCATCTTCGGTAGAGTAACTATTGGATACATCTTGTAATGTCCTTGACTTTTAGTTTGGTACTGTCACTGGGATGAAATTATGTATGTGTATAGGGAACTAGTGGTAAAGTGTAATGTAAGAGAGAGTAAATAAAATAAGTAAATCTGAGGGAATTTGTGGATATGATGCTTAATTCTTATTTTTAAATAAAATGCAATATTTTCAAATCAGGAAATATTTATATGAATACAAATGTTAAGGCCGGCAATACTTCCATTCTAAATAGACCATGAATGTTAGGAGTTATCATATTCATATATAATTCATATTCCTCAATGTAATAACAAATCATATTTACAGATGATGAAACATCATCCATTGCCTCAACTGATAGCGGGGCGTCAGTGAGGCGGCGTAAAAGGGAGTCTGGTACCTCATCTGCCACTCAAGGCACAGAAACAGAGGCAGAGATTCCCAGTCGAGCTTCTGTTCATGGAGATGATAGTAATACATTTATGCCAAAGTTAGAGGTGGGTGAGGAAGAGGACAGTAGCTCTTATTCAAAGAATAGAAAAGTTAATGTAAAAAGTGAAGTTAAGGCTGAAAGAGACAAAGATTTAGAAGGGGAAGATGGGGAGGAGGAGGATGTGAAACTAAATATAGAACTCTGTACAAAAAGTGGGGAACAGGACTCAGATGAGGAAATGGAGGATTGTGGAAAGTATCCGGGTGGAAATTATGATGATGAGGAAAATTCAGATGATGAAGACAGTTCCTCTATTGTGAATGGGAAGTCCTTAGAGTTTAGAACAATGAATGACCAAAGTGACGATGAAACTGGGAATTATGATGCTGATGAATATTGTGGCAGCAAGGAGAAATTTCTAGTGAAAAATGAGAAAGATGATATTGATAGCCAAGACCAAAATGAAGATGAGATTGATGATAGGGAATGTGTTGGGGAAAATAAAGGTGAGGAACATTTCGAAGAGGAAGAGGAACTGGGGAATCTTGTTTTAAGTACTACTGAAGGGGAAGAGGTACAAGATGATGATGATGATGATAAATATGATATTAGTAGTGAACTTAAGGAAAATACAAGAGAAAGAAATGATTTGGGACAAGTGGAGAAAGGTTTTGTGGAAGCCTCCCAAAATTGGTTGAAAACTGAGGACAATTTAAACCCATCAAATGTGAAAACGTATGACGGTGAATCTGTACTGACAGTTGGTATAGGAAATAAAATTACTGTGGAATCAAATAGTGACACGAGTGAAAACAGAAAACATGACATTGGTAGAATACATACAAATGTAGATATTAAATGTGAGGAAGAAGAGGAAAGTGAAGATGAAAATAGGAGAAAGAAGGAAACAAATTCATCATTAACAGGTGATGACAGTAGAACAGATGATGATGATGATGATGATGATGAGGAGGAGGAGGAGGAGGAAGAGGAGGAGGAGGAGGAGGAGGTGGTTGATGGTGAAGATGAAAAAGGTATGAAAAAATTTTCCCAAGTTAATTTTGAGGGTGAAGATTGCAAAAAGAAAGATAATGAAAGTGAAGATAGTGACATTGAAGATGAGGCAGATAATAAAAGAAGAAATTTGCTGGAGGGAATGGAGAGTGACAGTGAATCTGACAAAAGTGAAAGTGAACTTAAAGACAATTATAGTGAAAACAAGATGGTTATCGATGAAAGTTATGGAGAAAGTGAAAAAAGTGAGGATGAAAATGATAAAGAGAGTGGTAAAAAAGACAGAAATGAGAGTGAAGATGAGGATAGTGAAACTGAAAAGGAAAGAGAGCTTTTGGGTAAGGGAATTAGTGGAGCTGATGAAAGTGACAGTGAAAATGTTAGAATAGGTGATGGTATATTGAAGAGAGAAAATGACTCTGATGGGGAGATGGATGATGAAGAAAATAGAAATGCTGTAAAGAAAAGTAAAGGTGATAATGAAGGGAGGAGAGTAGAGAATAAGGAGGAGGAGTTCAGCTTTAGAAAGGGTGAGAATGTGGAAGACAGAGTTAAGAAAGAGATTGTGAGTAAAGACGAAACAGAAAGAAAAACTGATGGAGAGAATGAGGACAATAGTCAGGATGGGGACAAGGAGGACAGTAGTAAAAGCTCTCTCTTTGATGCTGTTCAGTTGATGAAAACAATGGGGACAATAGCAATAACCAGATTGGATGGCAAGAGTCTAGATCATGGGAGTAGCAGTAATGGGGTCACCATATCTCTGGCCAAAGACCAACAGAAAACTGAGGAGAGTGATGATGATAGGAAGGATGAAAATGAAGAATCTAACAGGACTAGCCCAAGTTCACATAGACCGTCTCCAGCTCCTAAAGTGTCTGAAAGTAAAGATATGGAGCAGCACATATCTTCTTTAGGTTGTAGTGTAAGTGTAACAAAAGCAGTAGATAAGGACAAAGATAGAGAAAGGGAAAAAGAAAAAGTTAAAATGCCCTCTGGGGTGGATACCACACGTCTCAGTCCATCAATTTCCATCATTCCAATGTCGGGGGGAAGTGACCGCCAAAGAACTAAAACTACCGTTGCTCCTTCTTCATCGCCAAGCCCTAGTCGTACTTCCCCAAGTGTGTCGATGCATAATGCTCCTAGGAGTTCTCCATCAGTCACTTCACATAATCCACCCCATAGTTCACCATCAACTACACAAAGTGCACCTCCAAGAGTTTCATCATCATCATCAAGTAGTTCGCCTCATACTAGTGGAAGCGGCATTCCTCCTCCACCACCACTGTCTCACCCTCAGGCTCCTTCAGCAAGTGGAATAGGCTCCAGAGGTGTCTTTGGTCCTCCTCCCCCAGGCAGTCAAGTCATGGGAATGGGAGGTGCTCGTGGTCCCATCATGGCTACCCCTGGTATGAGGATGATGACTGGAGGAGGACCAGCCATGATGGTTCCATCCCGCATGCCAGGTGGTCCACCCACCAGGCATCTGCCACCAGAAGCTGGTCCTCTTGCTGCTCAACTTCATAAACACTCCCAAAAGCTAGCAGAGGTCATGCGGGCCACTCTAGAGGATGTCTTGGGTGGTCTTGTCATGACTGGCACCCCTGAAGCACGTGTGGCAGCACTTCAGTTAGAGTTGGAGCGTACAAATTGGCGGCATCAGCAAGAAGTTGCCGAGGTGCGGCATAATGCTGATGTAATGCTGGTGGAGATGAGAGCCAACTTAGAAGCAGAAAAACAACGAGCTGTGGATGAAGTCAAAAGACAGATGGAACAACAGATGATAGAGGGACGAAGACAAATGGAGCGGCAGTTGGTGGAGCGGCTGGCTGAAGTGCGGAGACAAATGGAGGCAGAGAAACAGAGAGCTGTTGAGGAGACCAAGAAGAAACAGTGGTGTGCAAATTGTGGCAAGGAAGCTCTATTTTTCTGTTGCTGGAACACCTCATACTGTGACTACCCCTGTCAGGTAAGCCACTTAATAAGTTGACTGAAAATAGGCAAATATTGTACGTATATATAATTTTACCAGTAGTTGGTACAGCACTTTAAATATTATCATCGTCAGTTATCATTACCCTTCATAGATTTCCATGAACCCACTAACCCTCCCTCCCTCCAAATCAGGGTTAATTTACAGCCTCTGTAATCCTATGGGTGACCTATGAGAGACAGACAACTTTCAGGATGTTGACCCTTTTTCAGAGTAAATTACCAAGTGGTAGTTTGGTTTGCTTTTGATAATGTGTTTCCAAGCTCATATATACCGTATAATGCTTTCATAAGTTATTGTTTTATTGCCACAATACTGAGGTGTGTAAACAACACTACACTTGGTATTTGAGAGTAGTTGGTGGTCCAGCTGTGTATAGTACTGTGTGTATCTTATGAATGCATGTCATGTTTTTCATATGAAATGAACACTAAAAGTATATTTGTGCTGTGAAATATAACAATATGTACAGTACATAATTATTTCTTTAGAAATCACCTCAAGTTGTGCATAATGTTTGCTAATAGACCTGCAAATGCTTTGCCAGCACACATTGTATCTAGAAACACCGAGAGTATCATTTTATAGGGAAATGATAAAGGAACAACAGTTGGCAAATGGCAAGGAAAGAGAGAAAGGACTTGCTCCTACTTATCAATAAATTATTGTTCATTACCACAGCTTGTGTAATTCTTTTAAGCAATCTTACAGTTATAACTTATGACATACTTAATGCTTTAATGCCACAAAAGTGGTAACAGTGGGTGTAGGTGGTGGTGGTGCTTGCTGGTCCATGGTGGTGGGTGGTCAGTCAACCAACGACCCTGAGCTCAAGACTAATTTACGTCACATAATTTTGTATTTATATCAAGCTGTTTTTATGCATTTTTAGATGTTTCTGTACACAAAAATTCTTTTGGGAAACATGGCTGTGAGAATAATACAAAATAGTTAGTGTTATGATTAATTACATCTGTACACATGAGACTGTGCGAGGCTTAGGATGTATTATTTTATTTATGCATGGGGGAGGAACCCACCCATTAACAGACATGGCCACTATTGTGACAGTTCAATGTACTGTGCTTCAATTTCTCATTCTACTTGTAATATAATGATCGAGATATATTAGGTATTGAAAAAAAAAATTATCATATTGTAAGAATGCAAAAGTCATACTGCCTGGCTAAGTGTTTTTATTTTATTTTTATTTTATTTTTTTTAATTTTTTGGTAGCAATCACACTGGCCACAGCACATGTCTGTGTGTGGTCAGAACAGTGATGGTGGAGGTGGAGGTGACGGAGGACCTGACTCGGTGAATGGTGAGGCAAGTGGACATTCTTCCAGAGTTTCAACGCCTGTTCAAAACCTAGTGGCAGCACAGGTAAGTCACCTGATGTATTTTTTATGTGTAGTTGCATGCCAGAAGCTGAAGTCACTGATGGTTTGTATAATTATTTTTAATTTGTAATTCAGGTACAAGTTATTCCTGAAGCAATTTTAGCATCATTTTGCAGCCATTTCATTGAAAATGTTTGGGGTGTGTCGTACAGTGTAGTAAATGGAAAATAATAATACAACATTCAAGTGTTAGAGATTGGATTAATTTGTATTTAATATTAGGCCTGTAAATGAGGGTATACAGGTATACTGCTAGTACCCCAAGAAAACAGTTGACATTACGTATAATGAGACTGATTACCTGTAACTTCATAGTACTGTATAATGGTATAGAGCGACCATGCTGTTACATTTATAGTGGGAAAGTTTGGGTTTACTCTTGTCTCATGACTACAACAGGAAAAGGGAGAAGGACGATGAGTTTTGCAATTAACACGTCCGTTCTAGGTCACTTTTGTTTTCAACATGAGCTATAGAGCACCAACATATGGAACAAATCTTCATGTCTGGTCACAGCTTTGCCCAGTGTGGAGGTGCTCAACCCCTGCAATGACTTTGAGACAGCTAAGTGTTTTCTTGTGGTTGTGTATGATAATTGCTTGGTCCTAATTATTAGTTTTATACATTTAATATCTTTATATTTTGTTGCAGGGATGTTTAGTTTTCTTAAAGATCATTTGGCTGGTTATCTAGCAAGTTGATTACAGGACCAACTACACCTGGCACTATGGCCTTAATTATTTTTATATATCGTATTTGCCGGCGTATAAGATGCATTTTTTTTTTTTCGATGGGAGGCCAAGCGCCATGGGCGGAGGTGCCTAGCTAGGGAGTCTGGGACGAGCAGTAGTCCACTAAGCACAAATATTTTTTACTAATAATATTACTCATAATAAAATACTGTACTGAAAAACAAGCCAAATTATCACAATCTATAATCACAAACTTGCGACAAATTTGCTGAAGACGTAAATAATGGCTTAACGGCAGAGGGAAGCTCACAATATCTCACTATACCTCTTTCCCCAGCATACATAACCCACACCAGATACATGTCTTACATTATTTAATGACTGTGTTACCTTTAAGAAACATTTGTTTATTATCTAAATGAAAAATGTCCCTAGAAAGATTAAAGAAATGTTAACAGAAAGTTCAGCCGCCAGTCAGCCATTTGTAATTAGTCGATGATGCCAAAACAATAGCGATGGTGCTACACCCTGGTGGCTGATCATGGCAACAAAAACTCACAGCTAAAAATACGAGTTTCACATCCTGTCGGTAATTCTCTTGACCAAAATATAAACAAGCCACACAGCTGTTCTGATCAGAGGGAGAGTTGGGTTAGTATAATGTTACTATACTTATGAAATGCTTTCCCAAGTGTGACCTTTTCATATCTTTTGTGTGGCTTTTTACCCTCTTTCCCCTCAAAAACAATACAATTAATGAAAATTGCAAACTATATTCTTTAAATAATGTTTCTGAATGCACCTTATGCAATATAAATGAATAATAATATGGTCACACAAGAGGAGATGGGATGCCATTGTTTTCGATTGTGTTTACAGCCGGGAGTCTGGGACGATAGTTCTACACGAGAAAATTAAGAAAATAAGACCCTGATTGTAGCTGTAGTAAAATTAATGTAGAAAAAATAATAATATATATGTTTTAAGTAACATTATTTAATATTAATAAATGGAACAATAGAAGTAGCTAACCACTAATGAAAAAAGAGAAAGAGATGGATTGGGAACGCCAGCATACTGTATGTGTGCACATTTAAGGATACCACGTCATTATCTTTTTAAGAATATTTACAAAAGATTAATTTTTGTTTATTACTGAATATGTATTTGATTGAATTAATCTTTATATATGCGGAATGAACAATACAATTTATTAATAATACGTAGAAAATTAAAACACGCAAGGGGATAAGAGACGGCATTGTTGTCAGTGTTTACACCCATAATGCCAGTTGTCCACCTGAAACTGAAGAAAATAAGACCCTGGTTGTTGTTGTAGTAAAATTACTGTAAAAAATATGTATGTTTTAATTAATGTTATTTAATGTACAGTAGAAGTAACCACTGATATTAAAGAAAAAGTGAGGCAGTGGAACGCCAATGTATACGTGCGCACTCAAGGAAACATACCGTATATACTCGTGTATAGTTCAAGTTTTTAAGAGCAAATTTTTAGGCAAAAAACTGGGGGGTCGACCTCTACATGGGTAATAGTTTCGTTAGGTTGAATCCGTGCATGATAGGAAGGGCTAGGAGCAACTTTTAGCTTTAGACATGAAAAATATTTACCAGTTACTGCCAGTAAACAATGGAAACATAAAATATGTACCAATTAGTAATGAAAAGTTGTGCAGTGCCTTCAGCAGATGAAGCTCACCAACTTACAATAGGCTAAATTACTTTACAACGTGCTTTCAGTAGTCTATGTTGAAGTTCTTAGCACAGGCTAACTTATCTTACCATATATACGGTATCACAGTACCCATTGATCTACCAAAAAATACCTGTAATAAAAACCTTTTCAATATTTCACACTTAATATAATACCCGATAATCCACCTCAACCTCATATTGTTTACAAAGATGCACGACGCACCACCAGCTGTTGAGTGTTGGCACAGTTGCCGTATCAGCTAGACAGTACAGTCGGCCCTTAACATACGCGGGGGTTACGTAACAGAGATACCCGTGGATGTTAAAAATCCGCGTATTTTTGAAAAAAAACCCTGGCCCCCCATGTCCTTATTTACCATATATACCTGTGTGTAGTTCGAGTTTTTAAGACCAAATGTAAAACGATGTAAAACATAAAGTATTCATTTATTAAAGTTTATTTATAGATACTGGACATAAATTTTTGTTCATTACATTTGAAACATCAATCTTTGTTAATTAAATTTGAAACAAAAGAAAACTACGATACCGTATTTTCATTAAAATATTACATCACAAGTATATTTTACCTTAACTGTGACTGAATGAATATACGTATTCTCAGAAATAAATGTGGAAATATAATAATTTTGCTGGAATGACGTACATATTACAGTGGAAAGTGGGATAAAATCATGACGAAAACAATGACTTTCGTTGTTCAAATGATTTTACCGTAATCGCTTTTCGAATGGTTTTCAGTTAAAAAACTGTTGTACTCGTACTGTATTACAATAATATTCTATCCTATCATTAGCCTTATAATCCCACAACTGAAAACCATTCGAAAAGCGATTACGGTAACATCTTTTGAACGAAAGAAAGAGAAAGTCATTGCTTTCGTCACAATTTTATCCCACTTTCCACTGTAATACGTACATCATTTCAGCAAAAATATTACATTTCCATGTTCTCAGAAATAAATGGTAGTTTTGTTGAAATGCAATGTACAGTATTTAATATTATAATGCAAAAATAGCTATAAAAACAATTAATACACCTGTAATGTACTGGCTGGCATCTCCACTCGTCCCTGCTCCCGCGTCCAAGGTCACCACTCCACCCAACTCGCTCCCTCCGCTCCCTCCTCCGCCTCCTCACTGTCACTACTGCCGACAACAAACACAAATGTTTTGTGAATAACTGCACCTCCACTTCCTATGTACAGTGCTGAACTGTACTGTGCTGTGCATTTTTACAAACAATAAACATGGCAAGAAAAGCTATTAAAAAAAAAGAGATAAAAATTTCACTTTACTGTACAGTACCTATCCTCGGCGACAGGACGGGGGTCATCGGGCTCATCGTCACTCAATTCCATAACGGGTGGTGAAGTGGGGGCGACCGTAGATTCAGCTGCTTCCTCACTGCCGCCAGTGATTGATGGTGTTAAATCTCTCCTTCGGTGATCAAAGAACATGGTGATGGGGAGTTGTCGTCTCTTTCTTTTCATTTCTTCCATGATGTTTTTGTATGGAGCAAAAACGTCATCCATCCCTCGCATGAATTTCAGGGCACGCACCATGGAGGGGTCCATACTATAGGCCAGGTTTTTCAGTGCCTCAATATTCCTGGTCATCTCCCCCAACTTCTCCAACGTTATTTCTTGGTGCTCTTCCTCTTCCTCATCCTCTTTCCCTTTCGCTTCCTCTTCCGAGTCTACTAACTCTTGTAGATCCTCCTCGGTCAGCTCAGTGTCGTGCTCTTCAATTAGCTCCCTAATCTCGTCCTCTGCCATGTCCTGGAAGCCTTCAGCAGCCACTTTCCTTGACAGTGCCAAGTGGGATAAAATCGTGACGAAAACAATGACTTTCGCTTTCTTTCGTTCAAAAGATGTTACCGTAATCCCTTTTCGAATGGTTTTCAGTTAAAAAAACTGTTGCATCACAAGTGAATTAGGATAGAATATTATTGTAATACAACAGTTTTTTAACTGAAAACCAATCGAAAAGTGATTACGGTAACATCTTTTGAACGAAAGAAAGCGAGTCATTGCTTTCGTCACTTTCCACTGTAATACGTACGTCATTTCAGCAAAATATTACATTTCCATATTCTCAGAAATAAATAGTAGTTTTGCTGAAACGTAATGCATTTCAATGTAAATTAGGATAAACTACATGAAAACAAAAGACTTTACCTAACCTTCCGATGTTCAAGATATGTTACTCGTTTTTTTAGTAGTTTTCGGTTAAAATACTCTTATATTAGTGATATTCTATTCATACTGTGCTTGATATAATACATTCACGGAAATGTAATATTTTTGCAACTACAATGCTGATGTCAACACAAGCGTGGTTACAGCGAGACTGACTGAGTGAGGGAGAGCTATGCGTGTGTGTGAGATTGCGGGAGCGGGCGGTGTCCCGTGTTCGGTGCCGCGCGCGATTTGAATGTACTTCGGTTACTTCAATGTACAGAATATTCCTCCGGCGGGCCAATCCGCATATTTGCAAATCCGTGTATGCTAAACCCGCATATGTTAAGGGCCGACTGTACTTGTTTTTCAAATCGT